AAGGCACTTCCAGGAGAGATCTCGGCTCTTATTTCAATGAATCAGACTGGTAATTGGCTGGCAGGTCAGTCTCGACCGGATCTATCATGCCAGGTCAGCCGCAACCAGCAGCTGATGCCGCACCCGTCTGTGAAGGAGATAAAAGATGCCAATATGCTGGTGCGACGTGCTCGGCAGCATAAGGATCTGACTATTCGCTTCTTTCCGATCCCTCTGAAAGATATTCGCATGATGATCCACACCGACTTTGCCATAGGGGAGAACGACGGTCTTAGGAGAACCCAGGGAGGCTATGTGCTGAGCGTGACCGACCCCGGAATGCAGAAGGGAGCAGTATCACCGTGGAACCCTCTTATCTGGAGAAGCTACCGGCTCAAACGAGCCATACGATCGTCCTTGGGTGGGGAGGCATCGGTACTATCAGACGGAGTGGGACATCTGGAATGGGTGATGTGTTTCTTTGCGGGGGCTATGTTTTCACAGTTTACTCTGGAAAATCGTTACGAGTTTCTCAAGAGGTTCGAGGCTATCGCCATCGTAGATGCTAAATCCGCATATGATCATATAAACAAGATTGGGTCTCCAGGGGCTCTCGAGGATAGGCGATGTGCAGTGGAGATGATGATTGCCCGGCAGGCCCTCCAGAGGTTCAAGGGGTGCCTTCGGTGGGGGCCCACATCGTTGATGTTAGCGGACGCTCTTACGAAGGAGAAGGCTGATGCTCATGATCTTCTCAGAGCATGCATACGGTCAGGTGTATATCAGTTGGCAGATGAGTCAGTGACGCTGGAGTCAGCAGCTGCTGAACGTGAACGTCGCCGCGTCCGTAGGGAGCTTTCCTCAAGCCATGCCGAAGGACCTCAGCCCCCAGTGGAGCAGGTCTCGTGCGTGGTGTGCGAGATGGTTGGAGTGAGTGCTGTTGGAGATCCTGACAGTGTGCGCAGCTTGCTCGAAAGTCTGACGACAGTGGCCAGTCCATATCCGACGATAGTCAAATGTGTATCGTCCTCCAGGAAGATGTCCGTGACCATTCCGGCGATGGTGCTGGACTCTGGCCTCACCGGCTCGACGCGTGGCATCAAGGTGACCCTGTCGTACCACAACAGTACGAACTACATCCAGGTGAGCTGCCCAGCGACGGTAGAGGACGCTATGGTGGTGCAGCTGGCCGAGCTGGAGATGAAGTACGCCCAGCAGGTGAAGGAGCCGAATATGAAGATGGAGATTCCTCAAGGATGTGATCTTGTGGAAGATGTTCTCAGGTTCCCACCATGGGAGACCGAGGGCAAGGGGACGGCCCGTTCCAGTGTGATGAAGGAGGAAGAGGAAGGATTCGTGAAGCTCGAGCGTGTCGAGATCCCGAAGGACAGCATCGAGTACAAAGAGGCGATCGAGGCGGTCGCAGTGGCTGTGACGATGGAGATGAGCAAATTTCCGCCACAGAGAGATGCCATTTTGGCTGTGCTGGAGAGATCGTTCGGCCTGTCGATGACGAAGGTGGAGGCCGACGATTGATCAGGGCCGTGGTCAAGGAGATCAAGGCATCAGGCAACTAGAATTTTGAGTGAATGTGAAACGCAGGACGGATTGCCTGATGCAGTGAGTGAGGGAGAGCATGTATGCCCGCTGCCGCCGCCATTTCAGATCAACTTATAGTAGGCTTTCAGGAGTCACGTGCTCGGGGCTCGCGCGTGTGTGGAAAGTCTCAGGGTACGAGTCGATCTACATCGAGCAGGCTCCGGGCGGAGCCAGGGAAGGAAGCAGTGGGATTCGCAGGAGGCCCACCTGTGGCCTCAGTGGGGGTATTCGCGCGAGGGTATCCGAATTACTCGGCACACCCTTCACGCGAGTCGTGCCCTACAATAAATTCAAGAATCCAGCACACCCGTGCACGCGTGCTCCGCAGCAGCCATCTTGCCGCATTGCCCCGCGGTGCACGATGTACGAATTACTGGCTTATCTATGTCATTGGGGCCATACCGCCACTGCACCTGAGTTCTGAGCCAAAGGATCCTTGGATACCTACAATTCGAGGTCTCTTGGCACGCGGCATGCTTGTGGCCCTTGGGGGCCTCTTGGGTGCCTGCTGCGGCCTCGGAGCCCACTCGTGGCGGAAGGCTCGACATGTCAGTTGGAATTCCACCTCTGGGACTCTTTATGGGGCCCTATTGAGCCGTCTTGGGCGCCTCTTGGACAATCTTGGGGCTCTCTTTCACCGTCCTGTGGCTCTCTCGGAGGCATTTTGGGCCGTCTTGGGGCGATATGTGGGGCCTCTTGGGCCCTTTTCGAATATGTTCAAACCCCAAAGGCGATTATACCAAAAATGCACCGTCCCCCGAAGGGATGATACAATGTTGGCATCCCGAGGCCCTCTCGGGGCCCATCTTGGAGCCTTCGACGTCCTCGGGGCCTCTTGCACCGTTTTGAAACAATATTCGGGCGCCTTCGGCCCTGGACGCTTTTGGTGGCCTCCGGGAGGCCCCGGAAAAGGTCAAACCCGTGAGAGAAATCTGGCATGGTGTCCCGGCCAGGGCCCCGGCCTCGCCCCCGTACGCCAGCGTAGATGCAGGGCGTCTGGGGGCCCTCACCGAGCCCCGGCGTCCCCGTCTGCCCCGTGCCCTGCGATCTCCCTCTTTCCGATGCGAGCAGTGCGCAGAAACTCTGAAATACCTGACGGGTTCTGAAGGACCTGCTTCTCATCCCTCCTCCCCCTTCCTCCTCCTCATCACCGCTGACATTCACTGGGTTCTGCGATTCGGTTACAAGCAGCTCCGATGAAGTAGTGACCCACACTGGTCTTCAGCCTCCCTTCGGAGGCTTTGATGCCTCATTGGGGGCCTAATTATGTGGCCGTCTTGGGGCGGCTTAGGGGAGCAGTGAGGCCGTTTTGCGAGCCGTAAAGACCAACTTGGTGAATGCGTCAAACATGTACGCTGACTTGGGACTCTTGGGGCCCTCTTGGGAGCCCCCTCGAAGCTCCCTCGAGGCGTCTTGGAGATCCCTGGAGCCGCCAGGAGGGGCGGTCCTGAGGCACCTTTGGAGCGCCTTTGGGTGCCTTGGGCGGCCTCTCTCGGGCAGTCTGGCAGCACTCGTGGGCGCTTCCGGAGCGCCCCAAGGGCTGCCTCCAGCGGCCGGGGAGCGGCGCAGGAGGCCCCAGGGAGGGTGGGCCCAGATGGGGGGTTCGAGGCCGTGGCTTATGGGCCCCTATTTCCTCCCCCAGGCATACGTACACAAATATACATACATGTATATATATATATGAATATGATTGCACATATGTGTGTGTGTGTATATATGGTTTCCAGAGCAGCGCAAGAAAATGCAGGAGAACCTCCTGTTCCGATGACGGGCGCGCTGTCAGGGTTCCCAGAAGCCTCCCCAGGAATCTGCAGCCACGCCCATGTGGGAACCCTCGTGGAGGTCTCTGTGACCCTTTGGCGGGCGTTCTGGGACCGTCCTAAGACCCTGCGGGCTTTTCCTTCACCGCCCTCTCGGCGTGTCTCTGCTCGTCCGGGGAGCCGCCTGCAATGCTCTTCGGCCATCTCGGGCGCCTCTTGGGCTGGTGTGGGCCGCCGTCTCTCTCGGCACACGTGGGCCGCCCCCGTGCGCGCCGCGCGTGCTGGCTCCGAGCGTCGGGAAGCGGAGCGGGCGACCACGCGGAAAGCAATGAAAGACATAGGGGAACGCGAGGAGTTTTGCCTATCTGGGCTGTTTCGGAGAACACTTTAGAGCCCCCTTGGGCCGCATCGGAGCGATGGTGGACGTGCTGGGGCAGGTTTGGAGCCCAGTGGGCCTCCGTGACCACCCTTGTGGCCTAACTAAGCTCAGTAGGGGAGCCACCTGGATCCCTCTGGGGCGATTTTGGGCGCCTCATGGGCCGTCTTGGCGCCCGCTTGGGGTGTCTTGGAGCCCTGCTTGGCGCTCTCTTGTGCCGTCTCCGCGCGTCGGGCAGCGGAGCAAGCTACCACACGAAAATCCTTGGAACACACACGCACACAAACACACAAACACACAAAAACACAAACACACACCTACACACACCTGCACACACCTGCACACACCTACACACATACACACGCACACGCACACGCACACACGCACACACGCACACACGCACACACGCACGCACACACACACACACGCACACACGCACACGCACGCACGCACGCACGCGCACGCACGCACGCACGCACGCACGCACGCACGCACGCACGCACGCACGCACACACACACACACACACACACACACACACACACACACACACACACACACACACACACACACACACACACACGCGCGCGCGCGCGCACACGCGCGGAAAATCAGCGATGTTCGGCCGTGGAGCCTGTCTCGGGGATGAGCTTGAAGCCATCCTGGTGAGCCTCGGAGGCTGCCTGAGCCCGCATTGGAGCAATGATGGGCGTGCTGGGGCCGTGTGGGGGGCCCTGAGGGCCTCGATTAGGGTCCCTGTGGCGTGTCCGAGCTCATGTGGGGTGCCGCCCGGAGCACACCGAAGATGCCTCCGACCAAACAGCAGTGGGCACGGTTGCGGGCTGAGCCGAAGGCCACCCAAAATCACAGGCGGCGAGAAGGATGGGCAGCGGAGAGAGATCGCCCGCCCCAGGTAGCAGTGTCGTCGACGGCACGATGAGGCCAATACGGCCAACGAAATCGGCGCGGGAACCAGAATCGTCGGAAGGAAGAGCACCCGTGACGAGAGGAAGAGCAAAGAGAAAGGAGGGGCGCGAGGAGGAGAGGGTAGAGAAGAAGTGGTGAGTCGAAGATGAGGAAGAGCTGGGATGAGGGTGGGCTAGAGGTGGTAAGGGAGGAGGGAGAGTTGGGACAAGGATACGCACGATTTGTGATGAGGTAGCAAGGGAGGGGGTACACGAGGAGGAAGAGGTGGGATAAGATTGAGCACGCGGACAAGGAGGAGGAGGAGGAGGAGGAGGAGGAGGAGACGAGAGACCAAATGCGGCACGGGAACGAGAACGCCCGCCTCACTACAGCGCCCCTGACCGCGCCGTCTGGATGCTCAAGCCGCTGGCCAAGCGCACCTTGGAGAGCGGGTTAAGGTCAGCTCGTTCTGAGAGCGCCAGAGCATCAGGCGCAGCAGCGGGATGGGAGATTGCGAGCAGAGGGGGCCCATGGAATGCCAGCGACATATGGATATCCTCCTGGCTGAAGGAGTCTCGACGCGCAATTTTGACAGATGCATCGTGCACTTCGTCCTCTATAGTCCTCATGCCAACATTACGATGGGATCAAACGGCGTGGAGTATACACCTCGCCGTCATAAGTCCCATGCTGGCCACATGATGGGAAGCTAGCGGGGTCCTGTTAGATACACCTGTGCTGTCTCTCAGGAGGAAGCGTCTGGTCATGATGGACACGATGTGACTCTCGCACGGTTGTGCTATGCTAGCGATGCGTTTTCATCGGAAAATGCAACGTCCGACAGACGGATGTGACATTCACATGCGAAAGATGCGTGCTCGTTGATCCTCGCCGGCTAATGCTGCTGCTGCCTCTTTCTCGTCTCCTGCCTGCGCCTCCTCCTATCGCATCCTCTTCCCGCTGTCATCTGCTCATCATTTTCCTCCGCCTCCTCCTCCTCCTCTTCCTCCTCCTCCCTCCGCACCTCCCGCTCCTCGTCCCGTCACCACCCCACCCCCCTCACCAAGACATCCGTCCCTAGTCCCTCCAATCCCGTCTCTCCTCTTCCACTCTCTAAAGAAAACTATTCTGGCGAAGGACCCAGCCATTCACAGCGGCGAGTGCTGTGCCTGTGAGTGCCGCCTTCAGTGGATCTCCTGATGGGGCGACAAAGCGTGTGAAGGGTGTGCCGACATGGGGCGGGGCGGCCATGCGGGCGCTGCCACTGGGGGAGTAGATAAAGCCCCCTGTTGGGCCACAAAGCGCGTGCTTTTGGTTCAAGAAATTCTGGCTCAAGGCAACTCTGGCTCATGGTGCGAGCGGGGCCGGACGGGCCGCGGGCTGGGGGGCGCCCTTGGGCGCGCCCGACGCCCATGTCCCGCGCGAAACTAGAAGAAGAGAGAACGGCATAAACATAAACTTTTGGCGCTCCGCGCGGATTTCTTGGATCTGCCCCCCCTCCCCTGGCGGGCGGAGCGCGCCAGGCGCCGCCAGGGGGGGCCTAGCGCGGATCCAAGAAACCCGCGCGGAGCGCCCAAAATTTGTCTATGGCGTTTTTGGTCTTCTTCGAGCAGCGCAGGGGCCCACTGCCCTGGCGCCCTGTGGCGATATGGGCCGCCGGGGCCGCCGCCACCGCCGCCGGCAGAGCGAGCGTGCGCCCCCAGGGCACGCAGGTCGACCCCGCCCCCGGGGCCCGAGGTGGAGCTGGCAGGTCGACCCAGCCCCCGGGGTGGTACGCCGCCCCGGGGCCCGAGGTGGCGCTGGCTACGAAACGCGCGAGGGGTGTGCCCGAATCGCCGGGGCGGCCGCACGTAGTACGCTCCCCTGGGCCTTCGGCGGGGCCCGCGAAACGTGCGAGAAGTGTGCCCACAGGGGTGGGGCGGCCGCATGTGGTGCACCCCCTCTGGGGCCTTAGGTGGATCTCCCTATCGGGGCACGAAGCGTGTGCTGTGTATGTGTCTGTGTGCGCCAAAATGATTGACATGCAGCGGACAGAAGCATGGATGGGAGGAGGCAATAGAAGGAAATTAAAGACGCAGGGCACTTTCTTCAAAACGAGGACACAACATCACAGCATGATTGGAACAGAAAACTGTCCACGCAGATTTCTTGGATCGTCGCTGGACCCCCTCCCCTCCCTGGTGCGCGGAAGCGCGCCAAGGGCGGCGCTGGAGGCGCCGCCAGGGGGGCCAACACCGATCCAAGAAATAGCGCAGACCGCGCAAATATCATCCTGGCGGACGCCCCATCCATTTACAGTTGCGAGTGCCGTCGTTGTGAATATCGCCGTCGGTAAATCTCTTTTCCAGGCCACAAAGGATGTGAAGAGTGTGCCGAAATGGGTCGGGGAGTCCATGTGGGCGCTGCCGCTAAGGCTCTAGATTGAGCCCCCTATGGGGCCACGAAGCGTGTGAGGGGTGTGCCGAAATGGGGCGGGCCAGCCATGCGGGTGCTGTCGGTGGTGCCTTCGGTAGGGCTCCTTTTGAGACCGCGAAGCGTGGCATGCGGGCCCTGGCACTTGGGCCTTCGGTGGCTTTTCCTTTGGGGCCACGAAGCGTCCGAAGGGCGTGCCAGCATGGGTGGGGCGACCGCATGTGGTATTCCCCCCCAGTGGGCTGTCGGTGGAGCTACCCATGGGGCCGCGGAGCGTGTGAGAGGTGTGCCGTCCGTAGCCATCTTGGCTCAAGCCATTGTGGTTCAAGGCCATTATGGCTCAAGCCAGCTGGGCAGGAGCAGCGACCTGGCCCGTCGCCTGGGCTCTGCGCGTAGGGCAATCCACGCGCGAGGCCGCATGCCGGGCGGCCGCCGTGGAAACCCGCCTGCTGGCGGCCTGGCCGTGCCGCCGCAGCTGGGGAAGGCGCTGCCAGCCGCATGCTGGGCCGCTGGGCTGGGCGGCGGGGGGAGGAAGCAAGAGTAGCAGCGCAAGGGAGGCGAGAGCGGGTGTCGTCCCGAGGCGCCGGAGAGCCCGCGACAGCCCATGTGGGGTTGCCCGTGCGGGGCCTCCGACAACTGGGCCTGTCGGACTGCCTGCTGGGCACGGGGTCGCCGTGAGCCACGCGCCCCCATGGGAGGGGCGCCGCCGCCCCGGTCGGATTGCCCTCCCCCAGCGGCAGCCGCGACGCGGACATGGGCCCAGGTGGCGGGCGCTACGGGAGCGCGGCCAGGCGTGGTGCAGGCAGCATCGCCAGCAGGGCCTGCTCCCGATCCAGCTCTTGCGCCAACGGCTGCAGAACGCTTCGCGGACCTCCGAGCCCGCGTCGCCGCTCTCAAGCCGTTCCCAAAATGCGCCACCACGGAGGCAGAGCGGGCCGCCCCCCTTGTCGAGCGCCGGCTTCGGGCATTGCGCAGCCGGTCGGCGGCGGCGCAAAAGGCGCGGCGGGCCGCCCTCGACGCTCGGGGGGCGGCCGAGCAGACAGCGCAGGCTGCCACTGCGACGGAGCAGGCGGCGCCGCGCAGCTCGGCGGCGAGGCGGCTGCTGCAGGCGTGCTGGCCCTCGACGAGACGGGATGGGAGGAAACGCGGGCCCGGGGGCGCCGCGCGGCCCCCGCGCGCGGCTGCGCCGCTGGCCCGCACGCCAGCGCCGCCAGCGGGCGCCACGGGACGCCCCCTCATCGGGCGCGGTCCCGAGATCGAGGGCGCGACGGTGGCGAGGGTCGGTGCGCTCCCGGTCGTCGGATCACGGCGGCTCTCCAAGAGCGTCAGAACCCCTGTTCGCCCGCCAGGTGCCGCTATTGACTGCGCAGCGGGCTCTGCTGCTGCAGCCTGCTGCGGGTGCGGCCGGCGGTGCCTAATGGTACCCATGGGTACTTTCTGCATTCGCACCGACGGCGAATCGGCGCTGCGGAGGCCACCCCGTGCCCGCCGGCGCCTTGAGGGCGGCGGCGCTGCTACTGCAGCTGGTGCGCCCGCCTGGCCCGCGCGTGCTGACCAAGGGCCCCGCTGGCGCTGCTGGAATTGCTGGGCTGGCTGCTTAGCCGGCGCGCGTCGGCTGGTGCATGGGCCAGCGCGCAACCCAAGGGCGCCAGGCGTGCCCCCCGTCGGAGCCGCGGTGGCTGCAGATGCTTGGCGCGCCCGTCGCCGACGAAGCCGTCGAGGCAGCAGGCTTTGGGAAGGTCGCGGAGGTCGGCCAAGCACCCTCGGCCACCCCGCGCTCGGCCTCGGCGCGGGCCCCCCGTCGGCGGACCAGCCGACGGCTCGGGGGGGGAGGGGGGGCCGTTGAGGCGCGGGGCCGCCAGGTCCCGCATGTTGCGCCGGCGGCGGCGCCAGCGGAGGCCTCGGCGGCATGCGCGGGTCACGGATTTGTCGCGGGGCTGCTGGCGAGGCTGCGAGCTTCCCTGCATCGCCGTCTGCTCAGCCCCTGGAGGGGTGCCCGGGCAGGCGAGGCGCGGCGCCCTGGTCGTGAGCCGCCCGGCACGGTGCGAGTGCTGGTGGCCAACATGACTCATTGGAGCTCCAGTTGCCGCGGGGCCCTGGCGGCATGCGCCGACGTCTGGTGCCTTCAGGGGGCCCGCGTCCCAACGCGCGAGGGATCCGCGGCGGTCGCGGCTGCGCGCGCTCGCGGCATGCGGCTGCACCTCGGGCCGGGGCCAGGAAGCACGCACCTCCTGGCTGCCGCTCACGCGCCCAGTCGGCGCGCCGCGCGCGCGGAGCCAGGCCGGGCCGGCTGCATCATTTAGCCTTGCACCTCGGCCAGTGCCGCGCCTTGCATTTCCTCAACTGCCGCGGCTGCCCAGGTGGACGGACGTGCTGACCTCGAGCGCAACGCCGACCTCGTGCTGGAGGGCGTGGATTGGCTGCGCGGGTTAGGCGGGGCGCCTGCATTCCTTGTGGGGGACCTGCTAGCAGCAGGTGGCCCCACCTGCGCGCCGTCACATGGCGCGCCGCGGCGATCGGCCTCGTGGAGCGGGTCGGCACGCGCGCGGCGCTGGAGTCGGAGCTCCGCGCAGCCACGCCTGAGCGCGCGCTCATCCGTCAGCCAGTCCCGCCTCTCTCAGGCGCCGCCGCCGTGGGATGGGGGCCAGAAGTCGCCCAGGCGACCACTTCCATCGCGCAGACGGCGCACGGTGGGGCCTTCCAGCGTGCCCTGGAAGCCGCCGACAGAAGGGCCGACGCTGCCCTGCCGCGGTTGCGGCGGCTCCGCGGGCTGCAGCGCGCCCAACGGCGGTCCGCCGATCCTTTGGCCTGGCAGGCGGCCGAATCCACCCTCGCAACCCTTCGCGCTGCCGACGCGGGCTGTGCCGAGCGGGCCGCTGAGCTGGCAGCGCCGCGGGCGGATGCTGCGCTGTCCGCGCGCCCCCTGGAGCAGGCGTCGTCGGAGTGGGCAGAAGCGCGCGAGCGCGCGATGCCGCCGGGCGCAGGACTGTTTGGCGAACTCCCAGGGGCGGCTCTACTGTTAGATCCGCGGTGGAGGCAGCCTTGACGACGACCTGGCGCCTGACCCAGCCTTCGCTCAGGGGGCGCCCAGCCCAGCCCCGCGCGGGCGGTCCTGGGCGCTTGCCCTGCGAGGGGGGGTCCTGCTGCGCAGTTGCGCTTCCTCGAGGGTCCCTGGAGGGCAATCTGGCAGCGGGGCGCGGCGCCTCCACTTGGAGAGGAGTGGCTGCAGGCGCTAGACGGCCCCCCTGCCTTCCCAGAGCGGGCCCCCTGGACGGCCGACCTCGCGGCTGAGCTCCTTCGGAATATGCCGGAGCGCAAGGGGCCAGGGCTTGATGGCTGGACGGCGAGCGAGATGCGGCTCCTCCCAGCCGGGCGCCACGGATGAATCGCAGCGCTCTTCGAAGAGGTGGAGGCGCTCGGCAGGTGGCCCCAGGAGCTGGTCGAAGCGGAAGGGCTGCTGCTGCCGAAGCCAAGCGGTGAAGGCGGGGTCTAGGACAGGCGGCCTATTTGGCTGCTGCCGATCTTGCACCGGCTCTGGGCTGCAGGACGCGCGCGGCTCTTCGCGCGATGGCGCCCCAGATGGGCGGGCGAGGAGGTGCAGGCGCTGAGGAACTTGCGTGGGAGCTGCCCCTGGAGCTGGAAGCTGCCGAGGCTCTTGGCGAGAGCGTGGCCGGGGCGGCACTGGGCGGGCGAAAGGCCTACGACCATATTGCCATAAATTCCTTGCCTGGCATGCTCGAGCGTGCTGGGGCGCCGCCGTGGATCGTCGGCCCGGCGGTGCACGCTGACTCCGCTCGCTGGCGATTCGGGTCGCCGCTGCTCTGCAGTGCGTGGCAACCCGCAAGCGGCGCCCTGCCTGGTCGTGCGCTCGCCGTCTTCTTCCTGAGCGTGCTCGCGCTGCCGTGGCACGAGCGAGTGAGAGAGATAGACACCCTGCGGCGGCGAATCTACGTCGATTCACGCCATGGGCGCGACGCATGGCGCACGGCGCCGGCGAAGCTGCCGAGTCCGCCCGGGAGGCACCGTTTGCGACGGAAGCCTTCGAGCAGGCCATGGCACCAGCAAGCACTTCGCCAATTCGGCCGCGGTGCGGCGATGGCTGGCCGAGCAGACGCCGTCGGTTGCTGCCAGCGCAAGCTTCAAGGACCTTGCTTGGGGTCACCGCTACAGCTGGGCGCGCGTGCCGACGCGCCGTCTCGGCCGCGCGGGCGAAGGTGGCTTGCGGCAGGTTTGCGCGTGTCGGCCGCCTGCCAGGTGAACCTCCTGCGACGCTGCTTGCTCGGCGCAGCTGCTGGCACGGCCGCCGGCACGTGCGGCGCCGCATGCGGGCGGCCCCCGGCTCGCGAACTAGCTGCCCTTGGCGCCGCCGCCCGGCACGCGGTCTGCCGAGGTGATTTCCGCGCCGCCGCCGAAGTGGCACCCGGCGTGCTCAGTTCCAGCTGGCGCCTCGACCTGGTAACCGTGGCGGTCGGCGCGCCCTTGCGGCAGAAGGCGAAGGCGCCGCGGCGCGGGCGGTCCCCGACCGGGCTCTGGAGGGCCGCGCAGGGCGCCATCGCCGCCGGGCACGGCCGCGGCCAGGGCCCTCTCGCGGCCGCTTCGCGCAGCATGGCGGAGCTTCAGCTCGGGCCCGACGTGGAATCCTGGGGCGGCATGCCGTCGGCGCCGGCAGGTTGGAGACCTGCTGAGCACCCGCTGCAGGCCACGCGGGCATGGTTGCTCGAAGCCAGGGGGCGCACCGAGGCTCGCACGGTCGCCGCCAGGCGCCGACTTCGCGCACGTCGGCAAGGGCATCGACCGATGGGCCACGCGGCGCCTGCTGGAGAGCGACCAGCTCGCCCTGGATGCAGCCGGCGCGTTCCGGGCGGTGCTGGCCGGCAACGTGGCCACGGAGTCGGTGGCGGCCAAGTGGGGGAAGCCTGCGCGATGCCCGCACTGTGTAGCTGATCGGGAGGACCGTCAGCACCGATTCTGGGAGTGCCCCCGCTGGTCGGCCACGCGGCAGGCAACGCTCGCCGCCGCTGGGTACTCGGCCCCTGCCTTCCTGGCCCGCCTGCCGCATGGCGTCGCGAACTCCGGAGTCCTCCAGCAGAACCCACGCTAGCGGCGCTCGCCGCCGCCGCCGCCGCCAGCGCGTCGCTGCCTGCTCCCGCGCTGCCTGCGCCCGCGATGCCCCAGAGCCCGCCGCAGCGTTGCCGGGCCTGGACGGACGGGTCGTGCGAGCATCCAAAAGACCCACTGCTGCCCCGCGCAGGATGGGGTTTACGGCTGGAGTGCCCCGGTTTGCGTCCCGACGATCGCGCTGGCCCTGTCGACGGCGAGCACACGGCGCAGCGGGCCGAGGTGACCGCAGCGCTGCACGCCGTCAGCGCGGCAGGCCGTCATGTGGAGATCGTCACCGATTTGCAATGCGTTCGGAAAGGGGTGGTGGCCCTCCATGCCAGCGCCTCGCCGCGGGAGTGGCAGCACGCAGACCTGCGGGCCTTGCTCGAAACGCGCTGCCAGTTTGGGTTTGTCACCGCGAAGTGGGTCAAGGCGCACCTCGACAAAGAGGCGGCGGCGCGACGCTCGGGAACGAGGCTGCCGATCGCCTGGCGGGCGCCGCCGCGGCCGCCCGCCTGCCTGCGGCAGCCTTTCGGCAGGGGCGGACTGCTCGGCTGGCCGCGCTCACGGCGCTGCAGACCATGTTGGCTGCGGTCGAGCTTGAGGCCCTGAACGCCAACCATGGGAGCCACGGGCCAGGCGGCCCCCGCGCCCGTAGGCGGCGGACAGCGCCTGAGCCCAGGTGACGGCAGCCCCGAGAGACGGACGACGCGGTCGTGGCCGCTGCCGTGGCCCCCCCCCGCGGCTGACGGCCATGAGCCGCGCCGCGTGGCGAGCGGCGCGCACCAGCCAGGCGCGGCAGCAGCGGCGCGAGCGATTTTTGCAGGCGGCGGCTGGCGCGCCCACGCGGCCTCACTAGGCCCAGGCTGGGTGGCGTGCCTGAGCTGTGGCTGCTGGGCGCCGCGGTGGGAGCGCCTTTCGAGCCGGCCCTGCGGCGGGCGTGTCCCAATTCTACCGCCGAAGGCGGCTGGACTGCTGCTGCTCCAAGCGGTGCGGGCGGGGGGGCCCGACGCTGAGTGGCGCGCGGCCTTGCAGGCGCGCCTGGCAGAGCGCCCTGGCGCACCTGACTAATTAGGTGCTGGGCTGCGCGCGCCCTCGCTGCGCGCGGCCGCTGGCCGCTTGGCGCGTCGGCGCCCGTGGCCCGTTTCCTCCCCCTCCCCTTCCTCCTCTCCCCCTGCCTCCGCCACTGGGCTTCGCATGGATGCCAAAAAGTGTGAGAGGTGTGCCGAAAGTGGTGGGGCGGCCGCAAGTGGTGCAACCCCCTTGGGCCTTCGGTGGAGCTCCCTAGGAGGACACGAAACGTGTGAGGGGTGTGCCGAAATCCTCGACATGCGGAGGGCAGAGGCAGGGATGGGAGGAGAAAGGGGGATGAGGAGAGGACACAACACGAAAAACGAGGACACAACACCTCAGGATGTTTGGAACATCTTCTAACGCGATTGTATGCTGTTCGTCTTTCTGTGATCATCCTCATCGTCACCCTGTCTCTCTTTCACATCCTCCTCATCCTGATTGAACTCATGCAGCTCCAAATCATCGGCCTCCACCTCTCTAACCTCATCGACCATGCATCCACCTTCGCCTTATTCTCGTCCGAATTCGCTTTTCTCTCTCTCTCTCTCTCTCCGAGTCCGCGCCCTCTTCCTCGACCTTCCCCCCCCCTCCTCATCATTGACTCCTCATCTCTCCTCGTCCTCCGCCTCCTCCTCTTCCCTCGTCCTCCGGATACAGACGTTCCTCATTATGCGAAGAAACTGACAAGGGGGGTCTGGCAAGGGGGAGGCATAGCAGCGTCCAGAATGCCCCAGATGGCCCCAGGTAGCCCAAGATGGCTTTCAAGATGGCACACGATAGCCCAAATTGGTTCAAGATGGGTCCCAACATGCCTATACGGTTCCAAGTGGCTTTGGACCCTGCGAGCAACGCACCCTAGAGGCCAAAATCGCGAAACAAATCGTCAACAACCCAGCAACGCACTCAAGAGTCAAAACATGCGTCAAGGACTCTTACCGTATCCCGCTTTCGCGTACAATAGCTTCTGAGACCTGAAGATGGATTTGTTTTTTTTCTTGCGCTTGCCATTGTGCTTCCTGCGAGCACGTCTGCAAGCGTGGCAATCTCTTGCGCTTGCCGCTATACTTCCTGCGAACAAGTTCGCAAACAAGAGCTCCGCTCGCGCCGCACTGGTGGCGGCGCCCGTGCCCTCTGCGAACCAGGCTGTAGAAGAGAGCTCCGCTCGTGCCGCGCTTGTTGGCGGCGCCCACCACGGACTGTAGGGCCAGGCTGCAGGAGGAGGAGGGGCCGGTGGACGGCAGGCGAGAGGGAGAGAGAGAGAGGCGAACGAGCAGGAGGGAAGGCAGAGGACGGCAATGACGAACTCGTGCAGGCGAGGTGCGGCCTGCGAGCAGCGACGCAGCCGTCCGAGGGCAGCGCGACTGCCGCACGTGCTCCTCTCACCCCGAAACCCTCCGCAGCTCGAGGGGGCGTCCCTGCCGCAGCCCGAGGGGCCCCGAGGCGCTCTCGCGGAGCGCCCGCGGCCACGCCTGCCTAGCGTGATGTTGCTCCCGTCGCACTTGAGGGCCATCGAGGCGAAGGCAGGTTGAAACATCAAAAGCCTAGCGCAGCATCAGCAGCTGCAGAGCGGCACTGGCGTAGTCGATGGCGAAGCTGAGGGGGCCGTCCAGTTCGCAGATGTGCCCATCCTCGGGGAGCTCGTCGGTGGCCATGTAGCGGGTGACCTGCCCCAGGCATCGCCGCAGGGACCGGGTGTTGGCGATCTGCGTGGTGTTGTCGCCGGGCTCGAAGCTGTGGCTGGGCAGGCAGTGCCCGTATCCCTGCCAGGTCATCAGGGCACCGCGGGGGTACGCGGCCCTCATCGACTGAGCACCGGAGTAGTCCGTCTGCGCGTCGTGCAGGTTGCCGATGACCAGCGCGCGGGTGCTCCCGCTGCCGGGCGGCGGCAGCGGCTTCGGGTACAGCGGCCAGGAGCCCAGAGTCGCGGCGAGGAGAATCCCGCGACCGGTGCCGATGGGGAACTGCTCCAGGCTGCCCCGCCACCACGACACGAGGGCCTCCTCGCTCAGGCGCCCGCTGAGGTCCAGGCCAAATACCGCGGCCATCATGGTGACGCCGAAGCGGTCCTGCTTGGGACCGAGGGGCTCGTCCCGGGGAGTCGTGGTGGAATTCGTATCCGATCCGCCGCAGAAGAGCCCGAGCGTGTCCTCGTGGCACCACTCTGGCGGAGCTTCACCGTCGTAGAGCCTCGAGGCGATGTCAACGGCCAGCGGGGCCACCGACACGGCCACCGTGGAGAGGGTCATGAGGTTCGAGACGGACGCGGCCCGAGTGAGGTTCGACCTGTCGTGGATCATCTTCAGGACCTTCGAGGAGGGCCCAGGGGCCAGGGAGCACCTCTCCTCCTCGGGGACGCCCCGATACACTGAGTCCGAGCAGTCGGTCATGATGCCCTGCCACGCGGAGAACATCCCCCTGCTGTAGAACGTCAGGAAGGCCAACAGGTCGGGCTGGGGCGGCACCACGCCGTCGACGACGAGGCGGCCCACGCGGTCTGGGTAGAGCGTGGCGTAGGCCGGAGCGACCACCGTCCCGTAGGAGAAGCCCGTGAGAGAGATCGTATCGGCGCCCACCGCGCGCCGCAACAGCTCGATGTCCCGCACCAGCTCTCGGGTGCCCGCGTAGGCCAGGGAGTTGTAGGCCTGGCCAGTGGGCGACGTGCGCGTGAAACGAGGCGCAATGACGCACAGGCCCTGCTCCAGGGCCGCCAGCCGATAGTGCCAGCGCACGTAGGTCTCATTCAGGTACCCGACGCCGTGCACGCCGTCCGACGGAACGCCGCCCGCCCTGAGAATGGCAAAGACGATGTCGACCTCCTCCTCCGAAGGCTCTGAGGCGTCTCCCAGATATTCCGCCAGCATCTGCCGCACGCGATCCACTTGCTCATGGTAAGTGAGGTTGGCAAGCCTTGCGTAGATCTCGTCGCACTGTGCCACAGGGAACGGCTGCGGAACCCCGCCTGGACCACGGAATGTGCCTTCCGACGGCGGGTCGGCAACGGCCCCGCCACTGAGCTGCTCAAAGACCTCGCTCCCGTTGACCCCGGCCTCGCCCGACGCCCCGAACAAGGCCGAGGGGAAGTCTACGTCCGCCGTCAGCGCGATGCCGCGCTGGTCGATCCCGAAGAACGCGAAGTCGTCGGCCACGTCCCAGAAGGTGAACATCGTGTTCCACGAGCACTCGCGTCCTGACCCGGGGCCCCCGCAGTGGGCCAGCAGGGGGCCGAACCTGGGAGACGCGGAGCGCGCATGGGCCGTCACGCGCAGGGCAACGTGGGGCGTGTCGTCGGGCCGCAAGGCGCGGTCGTGGCTGAGGGGCACCTTCAGCCAGCCGTGGAGGGACGTGACGTTGCCGACCGCGGAGTCCACGATGCGGTCCCAGACGAGCAGCCTCGGGTCGGGCCTGAGCAGGGAGAACGGGCCCCGGCCACCGTCGAGCAGCGGCGCCGTGCCGCCCGCGGCGCTCCCCGCGGCGGCGAGGGCCATCAAGGCTCCCAGGCGCGCGGGCCTCGGCATCTCCATTGCCAACGACGGAGGCCCTGCCAGGCCACGAGAGGGAGCTGCCGCGACGAGTCGTCCGACGGGCAGTGCTTCGGGCAAAGACCTTGAGCCAAAATGGCTACGGAGACCTCAAGATGTAAATATAAATTATCGCCCAACACAGCCACAATGTGGGGGCATGGGTGCGCCAATACACCCCCAAGAGCGCCTCAAGAGAGTCACAATAACACCAAGAGCAAAGTTTTGGGCTCAGGCGAGGTTGCTGAGATTCGTGCCACCCATTCGCTCAAAGTCAAATTCATTGCAAAACATCTGTCAGGCCAGGCGGCGGAGTCGAGCGGCAGCTCGGAAAGCTGAAGTGGAACCTGTTCCTGCATTTTCTCGCTCAGCCCTCTTTCGCCCATAAAAACAGGGTCACTCACCTGTGGGCCTCGGGCACCAAAGAGACGACCTGACCCGCTTCGAAGCTTCGGCTCGATTCGCAACCGTCGAAACCGGTGCGGCTAGAAAAACGAACGGGGCCTCCTTCTCCTCCTCCTCCTCCTTCTCCTCCTTCTCATCCTCCTGGCCCTCCATCTTCCCATCGTGCCATTGGGTGTCCTCCTCCACCGGCACCTGCCCCTTCAGCCCCCCGAAAAGCAAACGGAGACACATCTCGTGGGAGATCCGGGAAAACGACGACCCCGACGCCGACGACGAGACGTCGAGGCGACGGCGGCGGCGACGACGACTGCCGCCTCCGATGACACCTGGCGGTCCAACGGGAGGTCAGGGCCCCCTCCCTGGGATGGCCTGTGGAGGCTCCATGGGAGGGCCGACGGCGTCTGACAACCTCGGTATCCTCGATTCGGCGGGGAGCGAGGGGGGGGGGGGGAAGTGAGAAGGGACGGGCCTTCTCAGAAGGCTCGGAAGTCCCCCGGCCTTCTGAGAAGTTTTCGAAGCCTTCCCCGAAGACACAGAAAACTTCCCAGAAGGCGCAAGGGCCTCTGAGAAGTCCAGCCGCCTCCTAAGAAGGCCATCTCCTTCTCACCTCCCCCCCTCGCTCGCCGCCGATCGATGTGCTCGGCATCATCGATCTTCACGATCCTCGGTGCCCTCGATCTTCGCCGACATCCTCGATCCTGGACATCTTCGACACCCTCACGCCTCGAGTTCCTCGAAGCTCGGTGCCCTCGAAGCTCGGTGCCCTCGAAGCTTGGATACCCGATGTCCTCCAGCCTCGGCATCCTGAATATCCTCGACATCCCTGATATCCTCGATCTTCGACGCCCTCGATCCTCGATGTCCTCGGCATCCTAGATATCCTCGATATCGAACAAACGAACGTCGCGCACCATCGGCCTGGAACCCGTCCCGAAACGGGTGGCGCGGTGACGCCGCAGTGCTCTCCGGCCAGGTTTTACACTGCCCCCCCTGACGCTTGACGCGTTTATTTGGTATCCTCGTTTCTCGACATCCTCGATGTACTCGGTATCCTCGATATCATCGATGTCATCGGTCTCCTCGATGTCCTCGACACCCTCGATGCCCTCGATGTCCCCGAACCTCGATCCTGTTGGCAATCTCGACATCCGCGATATCCTATACGACCACCCTGCGGGTGATAAGGAGGTTGGGGGGGGTGGAGGGGCCGAGCAATCGGCAACAGTGGTGATTGTTCTCCTGACGATGCCAGTGGAGTTTTTTTTCTCGGAGGCCTGCTGAGGCTCCTCTCCCTCCCTTTGTCGGGTTGCACATGGTGCACATGCAATTGATGAGAACTGCTGCGACAGGCCCCGGGAACGATTCAGGAGTTCCCAAGGGAACCTGCAGGGACGTACCGACGCCGACTCCAACAGCGACGGCGAACGACGACTCCAGGGGCCCGCGCCGGCATCCTGTCGGCGTATCCCTTTTTATGTCGACGGCACAACTCCAGGGGCCGAGACGCACCAGTTTTTCGATTCGCTTCCAGCCGCGGCGGCGAGCAGGGCCTCCGAGGGCCAGGAAACCTCGACCGAACCTCGGCGCCAACCTCAAAACGGAACCGGAACCCCTCCCAGGGGCCCGCGCCGGCGTCCTGTCGGCGCATCCCTTTTTATGTAGACGGCCGAACTCCACGGGCCCAGACGCCCCAGTTTTTCGATTCGCTTCCAGCCGCGGCGGCGAGCCCGCGCGGCCGCCCGAAGGAACGGGGCGCGCTCGGAGAGAGCGGCTGGCAAAGCCTAGCCTGTACTGGTGGGTGCACGGGGCCTCGCCCGCACGCACGGCACGCACGAACACGAAACCGAAATCGATTTCCCGGTAGGGGGGCTCTCCGTTCCACTTCGATCTCACCCCCCAACCTCCGATCACAATCGATCTCACAATCGACGTCGTCATCATCATCATCATCATCATCATCATCATCATCATCATCATCATCATCATCATCATCATCATCATCATCATCATCATCATCATCATCATCATCATCATCAACATCATCATCATCATCATCATCATCATCATCATCATCATCATCATCATCATCATCATCATCATCATCATCATCATCATCATCATCATCATCATCATCATCATCATCATCGCCATCATCAACATCATCATCATCATCACATCATCATCATCATCATCATCATCATCAACATCATCATCGGGACACCGACGGGACACCGACGGGACACCACCGGGACACCGGCGGGACACCGCGCGGCCCCGCGCCCCGGTGGAGAATCATTTGGTGCGGCCGCGCCTCAGCCACAGAGGACACCACCGGGACACCGGCGGGACACCGCGCGGCCCCGCGCCCCGGTGGAGAATCATTTGGTCCTGCCGCGCCTCAGCCACAGGAGACTTTCCTCTCGCCCGCCCACACAGCTTCGCCTCGCCCGCACGCACGGCACGCACGAACACGAAACCGAAATCGATTTCCTGGTAGGGGGGCTCTCCGTTCCACTTCGATCTCACCCCCCAACCTCCGATCCTACGCTCTCGATATCCTAGATGTATCCTCCATGTGGGACGGGCGACGCGCTCCATCGGCCCACAGGCCGTCCCAGGACAGGTGGCGCGGTTGCGTCTCAACGCCCTCCATTATGATACGCGGCGGTGCTTTCCTGCCAGCGCTTGCACTGCCCACCTGTCGCTGGACGCGGGCAAACCAAAAGGTAGAGATACCGCTACTCCCCAAACCTCTCCCAAGGTGCGTTCTGACAAGAACTGCGAAGCGAATGTAGCCGTGGCGACGAGGGCCTCCCAAGAGACCCACAATGGAAAAAACGGAAAAAGGGAGCGGGATCCGTGCCTTCTCTTCCTTCGAAGACGTGACTCTCTGGCATCCTGGATCCTCGACATCCTCGACATACTCCGCATACGCGACATCCTCGACCCTGGACATCCTCGATCCTCGAATCCTCGACATCACTGGTGTCCTCGTCATCCTCGACCTCCTTGACATCCTCGACGTCGTCTCGGGCCGGCCTTCTCAGAAGGCTCGGAAGTCCTGCAGCCAGTTTTCTGAGCCTTCGCCGAAGGCTCAGAAAACCTCTCCGAAGAGTGGAGGGCTTCTGAGAAGCCCCGCGGCCTTCTGAGAAGGCCTTCTCCTCCTCACTTCCCCCCCTCGATCACCGCTGATAGATGTCCTCGACTTCACCCTTGACGTCGTCGCCATCCTCGACGTCCCCTGTACACTCGGCGGCGGCAGCGCCGCACCGATGGCGTGCGGGTCGCCGGAGCCGATCGCGCAGAGCGCTCCGGCCGCGGCGGTGCGCGCGGCCACGGCCGAGTCCTGGGCGGCGCACGCCGCGCGGAAGCAAATCACTGTCGACGGCCGATTGCTGCGAGCACCACAGCTGTACTGACAAGCTACCCGCCAATCCGAAGAAGTAGGCACGTTAGGTTCGTGCGGCGCTGGCGCGCGAGTAAGTCTGTGGCACCGCGTCGATCAGTTCAAGACCTTTAATAGATCACGATCCCATCGTTCGAGATTGGATTCCGCCAGGTCCAATTGCGTCACCGCGTCCCTCGGCGTCGAGGAGTTCGACCTTGAACGCCTTCGCTGGCGTCGTCGGCGCGCCAACGCCGCGTGAGCGTACCGTAGAAACATGGCATATCAAATAGATTGGGTTCGGGCCCGCCCACAGAACATTGAGAGCATCGAAATAATATCGATTGTTGAAGCGGAAAGGCGCTTGACGTAGTTGGGGAGCTGGCAGACCAGAAAAACCTACTTTCAACGACTGGCGCGGCCAGAAAGCGACATGCGGATCCGCCGCGCCAGTCTGCCAGATGTCATGCCGCTCTCAAGACTCCCTCCAGCCTGCGGGCCGGTCGAGGACATCAAGGATCGTCGAAGGTGGCAAGGATATCGGGGATGTTGCGATGTGGAGGACACCTGGGATATCGGGGATGTTGCAGATCGAGGACCATCGAAGATCGACGGCATAGAGGATATCGACGATCCAGCAGGTCCGGGCTGTGGAGGAAGCCAGAGATGGCGAGCACATCATGCTTCTCAGGCGCCTGCCACCCACTCTGGGCCTCCCAAGCCCTCCGAGAGCCTCTGCGGGGACCCGTGGAGGCCTCTGCACGGAGCCAGTCGTCGACGCCGCCGCCGTTGCAATCCTCGTCCGAGTCGTCCTTCTCTAGACATGAGGCACAGAATATTTGGGGGGGGAGGACAGACTCAGGAGGGGAAACATCGACCCGCAATCGGCGATACCACTGCCGATGGAACTGCGATAGGCCCCTGGTAGCGAATCCGCTCGCACCGAGGTGGGGTGGGCTACTGGGGGCCGATGCACCGCCCCCCGTGAGCCCATCCCCTCCCCGAACGTTGCCCCTGAAGATAAATGCACCCAGAGGGAAATCAAACAAGCCAGGACCGCTCAGTTCGCACCCAGAGCTGTCTAGCAACTGCTCATTGCGGGGGTCGCGGTGTCTGTTCCTCCCTTGACTGCTCCTTGTTCCTCCTCCACACGCCCGGGGGGGGGAGGGGAGAAGAAAAGCCTCAGGGAAGGGACGGGGCGATGGCAATGCGGAGAATAGACGGGGGGAGCCAAGGGGTCTGGGTTGGGTCTGGGGACCCTGGGACAGTCCACGTCCTTCCTCCAGCTCCCCCCTCTCCCGAGTCTGACGACAGAGGCGGGTTAAGAGAGTTTGGGTCGCAAATCAGTTCACATACTTGGTGTTCCTGGCGCCTCAAGGGGCCAGAGGCACTCATATATCGAGGAAGGCGCCCAGCATCCCGGCCGAAGCCAGCTGCGCGCAGCAGATTTCGCAGACCCCGCTTGCCCCATCCCCCGCCGTGCGTGCGTCCCACCCGATCCTCCTCCCTCCTTCCCCCTCATCACTCCTTCCTTATCCCGGCTGCCTCAAGGAGAAGGGGCAGGATGACCTGCCCGACCTTGATTTGGACGGCAACCTTTTGTCCTAGGGGGGGGACCCTGTCGCTGGCCCACGGTGCGGTTGGCTCAAGGCCGCACTTTGGAGACACAAAGGTCCTCTCCGACGGGGCTCCCCTGGGGGGCTTTCGGCTTGACCGTCGGGCCTTTCCCTTCTCTCTCTCTCTCTCTCTCTCTCTCTCTCTCTCTCCCTTCTTCTCTCTCTCTCTCTCTTTCCATTAGTGGCGTGCGAGCCTTCCTCCTCCCGATCGCCATATCCCTTTCTCTGGGGGCCCCTACACATGTATCGCCACTGGGCGGCCGCAGAAACAGGACCACTCGTGCGCGCGACGCCTGTGCAGGCGTCACATGCACATCCACCGGCGTGGACGGCTTCATGAAAAACAGCAGGGCCAACGGCATGTCGTTGACGACGACCCCGTAATGGGTGACCCCGCTGGGTCACCCGTTACGGGGCCTGGCAGGGTCGGCCAACCAAGGCATCACTAGGGACTTTCCCATCGCAATCCAATTCAATCGAAAATTATCAAGGTGCCCACTGCGCCAAAAGTTGTTGTGCATGTCCTTTTCGCCACGACCGGAACGCACGACGTAACATAAAACCACGTAGGTACCCAGCGCTGCGGAATCGAGCGCCAACATCACGTCGGTGTCCACTACTGCGGAATCGAGCGCCGCCACGATATCCATCACGACTGATTCGAACACAGCGTCGATATCCAACTCCACGTCGATATCCAACTCGATATCCGCTCCGCGTCGATTCGGGCACTTCCACGGCGAACACCAAGACGAAGTCGAGAGCCACGTCGGCATCTGGCACGACAAAATCGAGCACACCCACCGTATCCACCACGACGGAAACGACCCTCTGGTATGCAGTATTACGGAATCGAGCGCTACCACGTAAACAACTACTTCTGAGACCAACGCCAATTCACTGCCCAGCACTATGGAGTCGAACCGCGCACTGGCGCGGTGTCCACCACGACGGAGCCGAACACCACGTCGATATCCGGCACTTCGAAAATAGGCGTTACCACGGAGTCCGCCAAGACGGAATCGAACACCACGCCGCGATCCCTAAAGATGGCATCTTGCGCTGACCCGTGATCCACCGCGAAGGAGTCCGCTGCCACGTCGGCACCGGCATGTCGGAGTCGAAAGATCTCGCAGTGCCCACCACGGCGGTGTCCAACACATTTTCGATATCCAGCAGTACGGTTTCTAGTCTAGTCTCACGTCGATGTCCATCGCTCTAGGACCGAATGCTATCACATCACGTTGCCCTCAAGACCCGTTTGCTTCATGACGAAGCTGGAAACCTCGTCGGTATCGAGAATCACCTAGCCCGATACCACCATTTAATGGGTGGTTTCGCCGGACCACCCGTTACAATGCCTTGCATGATCGACCATGCGGGGCATGAATTTGACATCCACGCCGTCATCCAACACTACAGACTCTCCATGACGACGGAGTTGAACACCACGTCGGTATCCAACGCTACATACGGGCTCGAGAACATCTTTGAGCACCAACCAAGGGACCAACAGCACAATGGGACCCAACATCACGAGTCCGACATGGACACGCAACACATCTCTGAACAACATGTCTGTGCCGTGGCCTGCGGAGAGACTGAATGATATGCTATGGGGACCATGCCGTGCTCCAGCAGCACGACGGTGAGAATCTCGATGGTGGCCAGCAGCACGTCGCTGAGTAGCACGACGAGCGCCGGCAACACGCCTCTGCGCGGCTCCCTGGACAGCAGCATCGCGGTGCTCCACAGTATGACGGGCACTGGCAGCACGTGGTGGGGCAGCATGGGGGTGTCCTGGTTGGCTTCAGATCGCTGCACAGTGCTGCGCACACGCGGGGCGTCCACGACGTGATGGTAAGGGCCACCAGCAGTTTGAGACGGCCGGGGGGCCTGAATTGTTTGGGGTCCCGGACAGTTTGTCAGGAGGGGGGGATCAGGCCAAACTCCGTCCTCGTAGGGTCCATCTGGTGCCATTCTCACCCTGGATTTGTTTTTCACGGTTCCGGAGCACGAAAACGAGCCCCGCTGGCCGAAAGAGGAACAAAACCTTAACCCAGAACCTCGAACCTGCCCGCTCCCTGCTGGCCAGAACCAGTGCTGGGCCACATCAGACTCCCAGACGGCTCCAAAGCAACGGCTCTCCGACCAGCACAGAGGCGAGCTCCACCTCCAACAACCCCAGCACGACGGACCGCAGCGCCCTCCTCAGGACGCCGCTGCAGGGGCTGTTGGGCCGCCGCCGCCGCCTACTGCAGCTGCAGGGCCTAGCCTCCAGCACTTGCATCAATAGACCCCTCCTGCTCCCCCTCCCCCTGCCCCTCTTCGACCCCCTCCTCGGCTCGTTCTGCCTCCTCCTCCTCCTCCGCCTCCTCCTCCTCCTCCTCCTCCTCCTCCTCCCCCCTCATCTCCCTCCTCCCCCTCCTCCTTCTCCCAGTCGTCCTCCTCCTCCTCTTGCTCCTCCGGCCTGCGAGTGAGGCCTCCCTCCCCCCAACCCCTGTCCGCAGGGGATCTCCTTGAAAATATTGACCCTGAGCTCCGCATGCGCGTTCTATCTTTCTAGCCGAGCGATGCTGTTCAAGGTCCCTTTTAGCCACTGGCAGTCCCGCAATTTCACTGGCTCGGCTCTGGGCGTAGCCCAGCGCCGAGCCAGCGGCGGCGCGCTATGCGCGCCCCGCCCCGCCGCTCCCGCTCCCGAGCAGACGGCCAGTTACCGCCACCACTGTCGTCGTCGTCGGCATCGTCGTTCGTGTTGCTGCGTTCGTTCGTCCGTCGCCGTCATCGTGTCGCTTGTCTCGTCCTTGCCATCGCCGTTCGTCTTCGTCGTCGTCGTCGGTGGCCTGCGTTCCTTTCCAAGACCTCGTGCCCC